ATACTTTCGAGCACAGCCAGCAACAGTAGCTCATCACATCAAGTTACAGCACAACCAGTATACTTTGTTTTAGCAAGTGCTCTATGCGAACACTGGGCGAGCCATACCCAAAGTCTGCTCCTCTCCTCTGTACACATCAGCAGATGACCATTTGGCGCTACAACAACATATAAGAAAAAGTACCAGCAACGAATTGTGCAAACACCATGTACCAAAAATAAATCTACAAAACTAAGCAAAAAAAACAGTATTTGTTAGGAAGAGAGAGTTGTTTCGTGCTTTTGGCATACCTTATTTAAAAAAGCAGCCTCACACCAACGGCCTTTCTGCTTTGGACGCAAACAGGTTTAATCACCATGTCGATTAAAGCTTCCCTGATTTTTGGGATGGAATTGTCCGCCTCAATGGACAGCACAGATTGCACGTAGTTGTAGCCGGCTGTCGTGTCCCGATTTGTACTGTATAAGAGAAGATTTTGATCCTATTCAGTGTAGCTAAAACACCTCTCTGACTCTCAGATGTCAGTGGGGGGTGTCTATTTGGTTAGGTTTGAGTGTTCAGAAAAAGTGCTCTTGGAAAATTGTTCTCAGTCAGCATCCTCAAAAAGGTGATCTGGACGTTAGGCCCTCCGGGGAAAAACGTCCGTCCCTCAAAGGGCTGAAATGTTGGGCAGAAAAGTTTTTATTCTGACGGGTGGGTGGTGGGGGAGTGCATGGTATTCACGGCCGTTTGTATGGATGAGTTTGCCTAATGGTGGCATAGTGCAGTGCACAAACGTGCGGCGTGAGAACGTTTCCTGTTAGATTGCAGGCAACTCGCTGTCCCCCAAAAAAGTGGTATACAGTCACAATCCTTAGCTTGGAATGGCTGTTTTTTCTTTGTAGACGCTCTGCTTCAGCGATGCCGGGGACCTCATTAAGCTGACAGGGGCGATGGTTCACTTTACCCCGCAATGAACAACTTTACAGCATTTCTTTTTGAAGATGCTGGGTTGACAAGAAATGTTTCAAATCCACAATGTCCTTGGTTGGGGCAAGCAAACAGGCCAAAAATCGGAAACACAAAAGCAAAATTTAATGTTCCTAAGCTACACTTGGCGCGTCTAGCCAGTCCTGGTTTCACTGAAACCACGCGCTGGTGGTCAGGGAGGCAGGAAGGCGGGCGGTCGTCCCCCAATGGAAGTTGTTTTCGATCCCGCCTCCCTCCTGCCCACGGTGTTGAAGTGGATCCTTGGAGCAAGACCCAAATTGCTCGCCATGCGTAGATCGGGTGTGTCGTGGAATGTGTATGAAGAGTCAGTTTCTTTTCGACTGGACTTTGCGCCGGAACACTGAAGGTGAAATGTGCTGTGAATGTGGTGTGAAAGGTGAATTGGCACGTATCGTAAAAGCGGCGTTTGATGGTTGGCGGCAGTACTAGAAAAGGCGCTATACAAGTACAGTCCATTTACCATTTTACGTAACGCGCACCAAAAAGTTACGGATTTTTGGCCGTTTACCCTTTCTGTGCTTTATTTTGTACACGTGTATGGATGAGTGTCCCCGTCCCCGCCAATGTC